GTGTGTGTGGGTGTGTGGGAGAGAGAGAGAGAGAGAGAGAGAGAGAGAGAGAGAGAGAGATTCAGAAAAGGCAAAATCAGAATTATAAATAGGCACTTTTACACTACTTTCCAATAAACTAATACATTCCCTGAAAAGGCAGAATACATACAGTTCACATTGTACATTATGACTTTCCCAGTTTCATTATTTAGGAAAAACAACACTCCTTTCCAACACAGCAAATATGCAACTGGCACATCCTGTCTATCTTCACTTTTGTTATAAAAGAGACAAAGGCTAAGTGCAGAAATTCAGGGGCATTAAGGGGAAGTTAAATGGCTGCCTGATATCAGGTAAGTCGGGATGGAGGGTGCTAGCTGGGGGGTTGGAAGTCCAGCGGGCTGGAGGGGATCAGGGGTCCATCGGGGGCTGGGAGGAGGTGCAACACAGGGGTGGGGTGGGGGGGGCAAGCATGACCCACAGGTGGGGTGGAGGTGGGCATGGGCAGCATGGCCCATGCTGTGAAGGTGGGGGGGCAGGTGCACCCCAATGAACCTATACCCCCATCCCTCCTGCCCCTCTCCCCACCACTGGGACTTACTTGCTCAGCTCCAGCAGTGATGAACACTGATAAAAGTGGCTGCATCTGGAGCGACTTGTGAGATGGGGGTTGAAAGTGCTGGCTGGGGTGGGGGGAGCAAGGGGCTGAGGGGCAAAAATTACACCAGTGTGGGGGAAGGGGGGAATGAAAAGAGCAGCCCCAGGGATGGGGCCAGTGTCCAGGTTTTCCCAGCCCTCGGGTTGCACAGAGGAAGAAGTTCCATGCACTAGTTTGACCTGAATTGAATTCATATGCTGCTACATAGATCCAGATTTATCTTAAACCAGATTCTGCAATTTTTAGGCTGGCTTGCGTTCATGGAACTTCTGTTCAGTTATAGGTTTAGACTGATTGCCAGTCAATGAGACTGAGCCTGTAGGTGTCACATCAGCACTGGGATGAGGTAAATTTAAATCAGGTGGCCATACTGAACCCAATTCAACTTCCTGCAGGTCTGTACTTAGCCAGATCCACTCATACCCACGTAACTAATTCTAGGCAGATTTTTCCTACTCCTCCAACTGTGTAGGAAAGTAAAGGAATGCTGCTCACTTAATTGCATGCTGAAATCAGTCGAACCACAAATGTAATAAATTTCTCTTCTAATGCAACAAAACATTAATGAAAAAAACTGTTAGTGTCTCCTTTTTTGAAGGGGTCTGTCACAGACTGCAAATGGAGACCAAACATTTTAAAAATCAGAGATGATATTATAAAACCACAAAAACTGACAAATAGGCAAACAAATCACCTACAAACTACCTTTAACTCTCTTTTTTGAACCTCACTAGATTTCATATCAAAGAATCCCTCTTAAGTAGGTTGTATAAAACAGTCTGGGACTTAGTGAAATGCATAAGGAAAATATAATGAGGGTAATGTGCAGCACATATCTGATTTAAAGAGAGGAAATGTTAATTCTTGTAGGTAGTTCCTTAATATTTATACAAAACCAAAATCAAACTTCCTTCACTTGATTATTTATTTGAATGAACTATTTATTTTAATTATCAAACATTCAATTGTACAACTTTCATTAAGGAGGCATACGTCCTATTTTGAGGTTGGCCCAGTTAAGGTATCTTAGTCAAAAATGACTAAAACCTTTAATAGGATACTGTACCTACCTGCTTTTCAGTCAAACTTGAATCATTAAATAGAATATCTAGTTTAACATATTATGCACATTGCCTTTTCCACACTAAAGTGAATATATTGCACAAGTTCAACAGAACACAATAAATGGCATGAAGAGAATTTATAACTTTTTAGAGTAACTTCACACTAAATGTACCAAGTAACAAAATCTCTTAAAATTCAGACTCTTCTTAATAAAGGAGCTAGACTGGTCTAAATAATTTAGTTACAATCTTATTCTAGGTGGGCATTTTAAAAGTTTCATGATTTTCAAGCCACAAAGTAATGAAGCAGCCAGGGGAAGCAAGACTGGCCATGGAAACACAGTCATGGTGAGGAAAAACCATAAACAGCTCATTGGAAGCAGAGTAGGTGTTATAGGTCTCTCTCTGCTTCTATTCTACATAGCCATTAATATAGCTTAATACTGCCCTTTCGCAGATGCAATGATTATTTTTGGAATATGAACATTTTAAGACAGATTTAACTTCTGCAGAGCCCTGCATTCTCAGGTATATAAACATTCCTCTCTTAAATATTTCCTCTCCACTGCTTTATCTGCTGATTCTGGAGGACTTGGTATTGTTGCTGGCTCCTAAAAATGATCAAAATCAAGGCTGTTTTCAAGCAATCTCAAAAAGTATCCTTGCTTGAGGGACAAAAATGAATCTCTCTCATATCATGTTCATCATGGTGGTCAAGTGAAGGTTGTCACTGGGTCCAAAGTTCCCACTCAGGAGAAAAGAGAAGCAACAGACACCCAGACGCAAAAAGATTTAAATCCATTGTCCTTTCCTCACTCACACACCCCACATAGAGAAGTTAGTACCAAGCCATGAAAAACTGATGAGCCTTCATAGCTCTCACCAGCAGAAGATCTATGTCTTCTATTTCCCATGGCAGGTGGTGGGTATATCCTAATCCCCTCCAAGAAACAGAATTTCATCTCCTGTCTGATACAGAGTAGAGAGGAAAAAACAAGGTAAGTAGGCGTGGCAAAGTAGGAGGTGAAATTATTTTGATACTAAACAATTATTCACAATTTTGAGTAGATTTAGTAAATAACAGCACCTGTTTCCCTGATCATTATTTTCACTAATTACAAAATGTTTAAGGGAACTATTTCACATACTACACAGCTTGACACTTAAATTTTCATAACAGAGAACCAGAAATATTTTAACATTTTTCTGCACTAGTTCAATAGCTTGATAAGAAATTAAGAGAGAAAAATGAATGGAGTTGGTTTTCTTATGAGGCCATTCAGAAATACTGGTAGTGTAGCTTGATTGGGAACAGTACATTTCTAAGATTTCTAATTCAGATTTGCTTGCAAAATATTTTTTTGTTTGGGCCATCCTCATCAACCTTGGATCTATCCTTGATTGGTGAAAAACTGCTGTCAAGGATACATCCAAGGCTAGTGAGGACAGTGCCATAACAGGTCCTGGTTTTGGCTGGACACACATGCAGTGTCATCTTTAAGCTCACCTGCTTACCCTGTGACTCTGGAACTGAGTGGGTGAACTCCACTACTGCTCACCTACGCCCTTTGTATAAAACCAGGATAGCCCAGAGCTGTGTGACATGGTGGGCATCTCCCCATGGTTTGATCTGTCTGAGGTGTAACTGGGACAGTTCAAGTCTCGCTGCTTTTTCCCCACTGTCCCTTGTTGATCAGTGGGACCTGGCAGGAAGGGGAAGAGGGGGCATTCCTCATAGTTTGACCCCTTCCATAGATATCTAGGATAGGTCCAGCCATGGGGGAATGTCCCCAGCCTTTGCATAGCCTTATGTCATCCTCGTTCTGTACAAGAAGCAGCGGGCATTCTCCTTGCCTAGAACTGGGGTGACCATGACAGACCAGTCAGGATTTTCATGTGGCAGCCAGCGTTGTGAGCACAGCCATTTGCCTGCAGGCAGAAACCATGTCCTATCTCCCTGTACGTGGCTGCAGCCTATGTTTGTTAGCACAATTTTATTTTCCGTCTGCTCTGGGATTTGTCAGGAGCCCAGCATGGCAGCCAGGGCCACAAGCACAGCCCTAGTTCACCTAGCAGGGGGTGCAGAGCAAGGGGGCAGTTCAGTGTGCCCTGGGATGCTGGATGACCCTCTCACTCTATAAATAACATACCACACATTCAAACTAAAGAGCAATACAAATGAGCCACAAAAATGATTAACAGCTTTGAGGCTGGTTTGCCATCTTTATCACATAATAAATTACTTGAACATGTGGCATGTTACAATTTACCATGCAATAAATGCAATGTCTGCCAGAGGCCATGGGAAGCCTTTGCTCAAAACACTCCCCTTTTGCTATCACCAGTGCAGCACCATTATTGTTAGCAATGTGGGAAATGTAAGTATAGCTTATTCTTCAACTGTCAAGTTGTGTAAACAAATTTGTACTATTGCTACTAATTACTTAAGATATCTCTTAGAATAAGATAGATTTAGGGAAATAAAGACTATACAATTAAATTCTGGCCCCAGTTAAGTTGATGGGAATTTTGCCATTGACTTAAATAGAGCCAGAATTTCACCCTACGGACTTTTTTCATAGTTTCAAGTTGTGAGGGTCAGAAGGGACCTCAATAGATCATTGAGGCCAAATCCCTGCCCTGAGCAGGAAAGAGCACCGGGGTCATATTACCCCAGTCAGGTGCTTGTCCAGTCTCCTCTTAAAGACCCCCAAGGTAGGGGAGAGCACCACCTCTCTTGGAAGCCCATTCCAGATTCTGGCAACCCTTACCATAAATAAGTTCTTCCTGATGTCCAACCTAAATCTGCTGTCTGTCAGTTTGTGGCCATTGTTCCTCGTTATTCCAAGGGGTGCCCTGGTAAACAGAGCGTCTCCAATTTCTTGCTGCCCCCCGGATGAATTTGTAAATGGCCACAAGATCCCCTCTCAGCCTTCTCTTGCAAAGGCTGAAGAGATCCAGGTCCCTCAGTCTCTCCTTGTAGGACCTTACTTGCAGGCCTCTAACCATATAAATGGCCCTTCTCTGCACCCTCTCAAGGTTATCCACATTTCTTGAAGTGCAGAGCCCAGAACTGGATGCAGTACTGCAACTGCGGCCTGACCAATGCCACATAGAGGGGAAGTATCACCTCCCTGGACCTGTTCATGATGCACTCTGCATGACAGAGTGCATTTAGCTTTACTGATCAACTTGTCACATTGATGGCTCATACTCATCTTGGAGTCAACTATGACTCTGAGATCCCTTTCTGCCACTGTGCTGCTGAGAAGGTCTATAGGTGTGAGAAGGTGCTGCTGAGAACCCTATAGGTGTGTTGGCGATTCCTTCTCCCTAGATGCAGCACTTTGCATTTGTCTTTGTTGAACTGCATCCTATTCTTTTCTGCCCACTTTTCCAACCGTCCAGGTCCACCTGGATTTGATCCTTTCCCACTAGTGTGTTTACTTTACCCCATAATTTCGTGTCATCCGCGATTTTGGACAGAATGTTCTCCACGCCCTCATCCAAGTCGCTGATGAAGACATTGAATAGCACAGGTCGAAAAACCGAGCATTGGGGGACCGCACTGTCCACATCTTTTCACCCTAAAGGACTATGGACTTGCACATAGATATGTATGTACTCAAGTGAGTAATCATCTTTAAAGTCAACAGGACAGCTCCTACAAGTAAAGTCACTTGTCTGTATTTGAAGAACTGGGACCTTGACTAGATAATCGGGCACAGTTATTTTGTGGAGTGATCTTGTGGCCCTTTTTCAGGCAAAATTTTAATTAAATCACTGGGAAGTTTTCTCTAAGGAACAACTGCTGAGAGAAATCTTGTTGCAAGTGTATGTTAATAAAAGAGTGTCATTTAAAATTACTTTTAAAAAATAAAGTTTCAGTTGGAGCTCTCAAATCTGTCATCTGCTAATCTTTAGGGTGCACTAAATTTTGCCATACATCACAAAAATTGACATGCATGAAAAGCTGATGCCTGAAGTTATGCCCTAAAAGTAAAATCTAATTTTCAAAGAGAACAAGAACTCACCACTTGTGTTTCTGTTAATCAAGATACCAGTCATGCACACTCAGTCCTTACTATCAGGAGGTGCAAACAGAGATTGGGGTCACAAAACAGGCAAGTGAATATTACCCTATAGAGGGAAACTGACAAAGAATAATTCATTGCCATTTTGAATACTATGTACCTCATTTATTTATAGTATACTGCTACTAAAATGAATTGGATAAAAGTTAGCTCAATGACATTAAAGAAAAGTTACATGGTGGCATGGAGAGAAAAAGAATTTGATCTTTCAGAACTACTTTAAAACTCACGTGGCACCAGGTACACAGCTGCCCTGTTGCTCCTCTCAGAAAATAATGGGCCAGACCTGCTCTGCAGAACATTTGCTATGGCCGGCAGAGCCATGGCTTCCATGACACTTCACAGCAGGGGCTTTGCCAGCATTCTGCCAGTCAGATGCCTGGAGCTTTGGCGAAGGGGGAGCTGTCCCTGCACCATGCCATTCCATAGCCAGGTGGCACAGAGATGGAGGTGCCTGGGTCCTAGTGCCTGCCTGTCTCAGACCTGAGCTGGGTCATTCTAGCACCCTGTCAGAAAACACTGCTGACCCCTGGTATATAAAATAATCCCAGTAATCTGATCAGCAGAAATGCAGGAGAACCATGGATATACGCCCTAGGGCTCACACAGAGTTCTGATGTTAAACACTACAGCAGTTCTCTTTGTAGGATCAATTGTAGGATTATATTTTTTAAGCTTCAAATTTAGATTTAATTTTTAAGAGAAAAATAATATAAAATCCAATAGGTCCACTATGTATGCTGCACATACATATACAGTTTTCAGGGAGAGAGAGATATAGAGATATGCATACGCATGCATAGAATCTTAACCTGTTACAAGTGTCTATTGAAGACTAGGTCCTACCACATGGAATGCAATTTTTTTTATCTAATAAACCTTTTTTTTAAGTAAGACTTGCCCTACAGTTTAGAATTTCAGTCTTTTCAGACAGAAAGTGCCCATCCTCCTCCCATACACATTAACTGTGGCATAGCAACGTTGCAGAGACTTGTTCCTTAATCAAAAATATAGAATCACTTTATGAAAAATCGTAAAATATAATCTTGCATAAAAGCTATTTTGACAACCTAAGAACAAGCTACTGGGCAGCAAATATGGTTGCTTCAACTTGGCCCCACTAACAAATTCAACTAAGAAAGCGGGGGGATGGTGTGCACAGACAAACAGTGCAGTAAAACAGGCAGTATGAGTGAGACAGTGACAGGTTACAGTACTATCCAGTCTCTGGAGTGAAGCCAGAGACTCTCCTATGGAACCTCTCTGTGCTTTTAACACTGTTGCAGAGCTTCAGGGAATTCTAATTGTATAAACAGTTATGGGGAAATGAGACAAAGAGCAAACCTATGTCAAGTCAGTGGTGCATGAGATACATATATTTTAGCATTAGCTATTTAGAATATGAATTTCTGGACTAGCACCACAGACGCATTTACCAAAATTCCCCAAAATTAGCTAGTTCCTTTTTTTATTTTCAGTCTGATTATACAACCAGTTTCCCAAAGCTAAAGCATGTACAGTAGATTACTTTCCCCTGTATTCCATTTAGGTGTTTGTTTTTTTTAAAACAAGACATATTCTCCAACATCTATAATATAAATAAAATCCTAACGCTTTAAAAATCTGCCCTTCACACAAGCCTAACAATACATATTTAAATGACTTATTGTACATCTTCATGTTTTTTTTAAGGCATGGACAATGGCATATGAATGGGAACAGCTTCCAGAAAAATATTATGTCTTTTTGACAAGGCCAGCCCAAGCACATCACATCAAAGGACTAATCTGAAGCCAGAAATGAGAGACTGTTGTGACTCGAGAGCTTTACCAAAATAAGTTACAACAAAATGGATTTTTTCTTTTTCTTCCCTTATTTCCTTTCTTTTTCAACCCTCTCCCTGCACTGCCCCATCCCATCCCCCATTACTCTTAACTTCTTTTTAAAGCACCGGTTGCAGTTTTGTGTTGTACTACTACTTCAGAATGACTATGGATAATTTATCTGCTTCTTCTGTTCTGCATTTTCAGCGTATGAACATTAAAAGGGTTTTTTTGTCTTTTTTTTGTTTGCTTGGGTTTTTTTGTGTTTTTTTAATGGCTGCTGCAAAATTAAAAGGATCCAAAAGTGGTCAGGAGCCTGGTCTAATGCACTTTTGAAAGTCCTTTATAAAGATGAATATAAAAAGCAAATGGTAGGTTTTGTGTAGACCCACAAACCACACTTAGCTATAAGAAACATATTGTGCATAGTTATTTTTTTCTTCAGAGAGTGATATGTTTACCAGATCTACATTCTCAGTTTACCAGAGTACTGGGGTTTCTATTTTACTAAAGCCAGGATCCTTTCGTAGTTCCCAATAGGCGTCATTAGAAACCCAGGCTTCTCTTTGATTGGCATCGTTAACTTTTCTGCAAAACGTTAAAAAAACAAGAAAACAGACAAAAATAAAAAATATGCAAGAGGTCTTAACAAAAATGATTTCATATTTTAAAAGAACAAAGAAAAACAATCTTTTGCCTGTCTTAAAAGTGAAAGATTGTTAAAACATCCTAAAGGTCTAAAACTGTCATCTGAGTCATGCAAGTGGACCCCTGCACCCATGTGAAGCCTTGCTGACAAACAGATATAGCATGGAGGGGATCCATTCACGCAGGTCTGGCTTCAGGCTCAGAGGTTTTCATCATTTATGCTGTTTATTTCATTTTTGCACTTTGCCTCTCTTCTACAATGAAATTCTACCAAGTGGTTTCATCACAGGGTTTGCATAAGCTAACATAAAGGCTCTTAATTTTGGGCTTCCCAGATTTAAGAGAAATATTTAAATTAAAAATCGCACCCCCACAAAAATTACAATTTAAAAATATCTTAAACATTTTCTGTTCAATCTGTTTTACAATCTCTTTTTCTGCTGCCATTTTTTTGCCATTTTATAGTTAAACAAACCGGGAAGATTATCTATATAGAAACGTGTATGGCTCTGGCCCATGTCTTTCTTGATTTATGGACAATTAAGGGGATTCAACTGACAAGCCAGTCATTCTCATCAAGCCAGTCATTTGATAAGTAGAAAAATTCCTTTACAATATGTTAAAATGTATCAGACATGGAAAGTACACAAAGATTTTTCTTGATATGAAACGGCATCCCTATTTTCACTTCTTCATTGCACTATGCTGGGGCCTTCTGTCTTAACATTCAAATGTCCTCTTTGTTTTTCTCATATGTTGATGGACTTACAGTAAGATGCAGGCTTATTACTAAAATGAATTTACTCACTTAAAAAATTTTGGTTTGTATTCAATGTTGTTTTCTTCCATGTACCGCCTTCTACTTCTCTGGAGTTCCTCTATTCTCTGCTTATCAGCTGATGCTGCTTCTACATTTCCTTCTTCCAAAAATCTGTCCAGACAATAATAGATTTGTTAGCAGTTAGATGTTGTTAGCTTCTATAATAGTACCTTATGTAAAAACATTGTCATAATAAGGTTCAGCACAGAAAATAATGCTCATTGTAATTGAAAAGAACAGTGCAATTATGATCTATTTCCTTTCTTCAGCTCTAGGCACCTGGTTTAAGCCCTGGTCCAAAATATGAAAGTTTTTAATTTATACCTTTCTGAAATGCTGTCTCTTTGAGCAGAATTCAAAGTGCCTTCTTAAGCATCTAAATGGAACTTAGGCAGAGTCTACGTGTCTGAGTTCCAAAGAGCAATTCAAAATGGCACTGCATTATTTATTAGCCACAAAAATCATTTGATGCCTCTATGCTGGACTGCAAAGTTACCAGTGTATCTACACGATAGCTTAGTCCAGGGGTGCTCAACCCCTGTTTCTTAGGCCAAATCCAAATCCAGCTGTGTAACCATGCCATCCAGCCTGCAGGAATCCCTATGGGTTGGGAAATTTGGCAGCAGGATTGCAGTGGAAGCTCCTTGAAGCTGGATCCAGCCTCTTCCAAGCTGCTGCTGCACAATAGGATCAGGACCAGGCCCACACCCTGCTCATCTGGATTGACTTGGGCTGCCCCCTCCCCACATGTCCAGATCAGGGCTGGGCCACTCTACTCCCATACCCTTCTCCACATCTGGATCGATTCCAGGCTGCTCCTCCCCCTCCCCACCCACCTATCCAGACTGAGGCCACTCTGGCTCCTTTCCACCTCCCCCATGCATCAGGATTAGAGTTGGGCTGCTCCTTGCCCCCCATTCCTCATGCCTGGATCTTGCACTGCCCCTTCCCCACACATCCAGATTAGGGCTGAGCCATTCCTCACTCTCCTGGATGGCCATCTCAAGCATGGGCTGTGCATCCCCACCTGTGGCCAGACTGGGCCCCCACAGCACTGTGCTGGATCGAGCCTACCACCCAGATCTGGCACCCCTCACTCAACCCATGGAGTGAAAAGGCTGGGTACCACTGGCTTAGTCCATGACAACTCCTTGGACCAGAAGTGTTCTCAGAAGTGATTCAGGTGGAATGCTTAGGTAATCAGGAAAAAAACCACGTCTAACAGCAGGTACCTGTTGGTGGACACTGTTTCCTTGCACTGGAGCAGGAAAAGACACTTTACAATGTGTCTTAGCTCATCCAAAGCAATTCTGCCTCTGCCATAAACATTTTTTATGGCACTAGCATATCTGTCTTCTCCCTTTTTTCTGAACTCAGGAAGCATTTCCACTGTAGCATTATACGTTGATAGCAGAATCTACCAATGATCTGGCTCCTGGCACACATTCATTTAAAGGTGCCATGAGATCTGACCCCTAGTCCCAACAATCGTGCCTTCTGCCATTCCACACATGCATGGCAGGAGGTGAGATTTTGGGATCAGGGAGCATATCCAAGTTGCCAATGCAGGGGGAGCTCAGGATTATAATCCTGAGCTCCCGCTGCACTGGAAAACTGAAAACCGAGTGTCCACAGATCCAGGCCTGGAGCCAATAATCAGCTACTTGTCGGCTCCAACCACAAGACCACACCAGAGTCTCAAAGTGGCCCTGGTAGTCTGTGGCTGTGGCCAACATTCAGCTGAATGGGTGGCAGCCCCAGACTGTACTGAGATCCCAAGTGAAGATCCTGCTGTAGTCCTATGGCCAGAGTGGACAATCAGCTGATTGTCTGCCCCTGCCCTGCCAAAGGTTTAATTGAAGGTGTCATATGAAAAACATAATGTAGAAGATTTTTATGGCTAGTTTGCCCTTGTATACCACTTCATATTTATTGCACATTAACACATTAATCATCACATAAATGTAATACGTAGAGGGGGCCTCTGAGTCATAACACACCGTATAGTGCAGATCCGGACAAAATTCAATACTGGTTTCAAATTCTTCCCCTTAGTAGTCAGATATACTAAATATTTAATGAGCTTTCTTGCCTTTGATCTGGCCTAAATCGTGCATCTGTTGCTGGAAGAAGATCTTTTAATGCAGGATCTAACTCATTGAGCTCAATAGCAAACCTTGTAAAACCATAATAACGTTCATAGTTCGTTGGCATGGAGCCTGTATGAACACATGTAAGAAAGAAATATGCTTGTTTTAACAATTGTTATAAACATACACATAAAGCCTCATGAATTTAACAAAGTTACAAATCCAGTAAAATAGTTATATATTCTAATACTTTTAAGTAAAATTAACATGCATCTAATGTTATTTCCTATGTGGAACATATTTTACTTAATATTAATGTTGATAAGATTATACAAGCTTTACTTACGTGATAGATCCAAGACTTTTTAAATCTTCCTCTGCTTTTGTGAAATCTCTGAGATGGTTTCATTCAAGATGAGCACTTTTACCTCTTTCCAGAAAAGCATCATTTATAGAATAATTACATTAAAGCAGGGGCGGGCAAAATATTCCTCACTGGCTGGATCCGGCCCACCAAGCACTTTCATTCAGCCTGCAGGGCTGCCCAATAAATTGTGCCCCAGCCCTTCTGCCCACGAGTGTGGAAGCGAGCCACCCACGTGTACACCCACCCCCTAAAATACCCTATATTGCCTTGCTCCCACCCTCGTGGGCTAAAGGGCCCTGTCCGGCCAGCATTCAGCTTCTAGGCAGACCTGCTGTTGCTGCAGCCCCCAGGTACCAGCTCCACTTCCCCGGTCTCCTGCAGGCTCCAGGCAGCAGGTAGGGAAGCAGCAGGGCCTGGGATGTAGCTGGTAGGGAGCCCGGAGTGTGGGGCTGGCAACAGCGCAGAGCTGCGCTTGGGGGGGCAGCATGCGGGTGTTAGGGAAGGCGGGGGGTGTGGGGACCCCACCCACACTCCCTCCATGGGGCAGCAGCAATAGGTGGGGTGCTCAGGGTGCAGCTACCCGGTGAAGCATGGCTCCGGGCCACACTGCACATTGGGGCAAGGGGCACAGCCTCCCCCGAGCTGTCTGTATTGCCAGTGCTCCCTGACACTCACGTGCAGCTCCTGCACTCACCAGGCACAGGAAAGGAAGCCACACGTGCTGGACCGAGGTGCCTTCCCTGTCAGGGCTGGGGCTTCCCCTCCTGCAGCACAGCCCCAGCAGGGAAGGAAATGGGCTCCAGCAGGGACCACCAGCAATAGACCACCCCCACACCGCCCCCCTCTCTCACATCCACAGCACACACCCACATTCTACCACACA